GGGGGGGGGGGGCTACCAAGCAGTGCGCGTCCAGGTATTCAGTGTTTATTGCCTACCTTCAAGTACCGGTATGCAGTAATTATTCCACGACACGTGGGTAGCATGTTGTCCACTTTCAGGCGTAGTTGAAGTAGAAGAAGTCTCTAACCTAGGTCAGCACGAGGACCGAATGTCGTAGCTAGTGTGTTCTTGCGAACGTGCGCAGTAAATATTGAATGCCGTGGCATGTATAATGTACACAACAGTTCACGAAACGCATTCTCGTGTGTACGGTGTGTGCTGCAGAGTGTGGGCGGGTCGTCGGCAACGGTGAGACCCTGGTGGTGGACGGCAAGCCCGTCAACTCGCCGCTGGAGTTCCCGTGGCACGTCGCCATCTACGACCGCAAGCACAAGAAGGGCATCATGCAGGTCTGCGGCGGCACGCTCGTCACGCCCAAGTTTTTCGTCTCGGGTGCGTGGTGTGGTGGTGACGCGTTGTCACCGTGAGGTACATTAAAAGTTTCCTTGTTCTAGCGCGGTAGCTCTGTTCACAGCCGCGCACTGCTTCGTGGGCGCGCAACTCCTCGCGTCCACCGAGGTGCAGATGCGGCCGCCCGCCGAGTTCGCCGCGGCCGTCGGCAAGATCAACCGGGAGTGGGCCGCCGCCGAGGAGACCGCGCAGAAACGTGACGTGAGTGCCGCAGCACTTCAGCCTTGTTGAAGTTGAAGTGGGGGCGGTCGAGTAAAGTCCCTCTCCCGCCGCAGGTGAAGCAGATCTACATCAACGGGTACGGCGGGCGGCGGCTGAACCACGTCCGGGACTTCGCGCTGGTGGAGATGAACCTCGCCGTGGACCTCCACGCCTACACCATGCCGGCGTGCGTGGACTGGGGGCTGCAGGAGCGGCCCGTCCGCGAGGGTGACGTGGGCTCCGTGAGTCAACCGTGCAGTGCCCAGCTGTAAGTCGACCTCACAGTCACCAAGCTCAACGGCGCCTCCTCCTTGTTCTGTCCTTGCTGCCCTTCGGCCAGGTGGTGGGCTGGGGTGGGCTCTTCAAGCGGCCCGTCAGCGACACGCTGCAGATAGGCTCGCTGCCGTTCGTCGCCAAGGAGCGCTGCCTGCAGCTGGTGCCCGCCCAGATGGTGCAGTACATCCTGCTCAACGACGACCGCTTCTGTGCCGGCGTCATGAACGGTGAGTGTGGCCACCGGGACGGCGTCGACGGCGACCTTCCCCTGCCTTACGACCGTGCTCTCCTGCCGCAGGGACCACGGTGGCGCACGGCGACAGCGGCGGCGGCCTCACCTTCCCAAACCGCGACCGGAAGCACTTCCTGCAGGGCGTCGTGTCGGTCGGCATGCCGGACGCGCGCACGCTCAGCGCCTTCACCAACGTCACGCCCTTCGTGCGCTGGATGGCGGACAAGATCCAGGACGAGGAGATCCGCGCCGCGGCCGCCATCCGCCTGCTGCCGCTCGAGATTCCCAAGGAGTACACGGCCAGCGACCTGGAGGAGGAGCAGCGCGTCGCCTACTTCCGCGAGGACGTCGGCCTCAACCTACACCACCTGCACTGGCACAGCTACTACACGTACCTGGGGCCGCGCGACCAGGTGGAGAAGGACCGGCGCGGCGAGCTGCTGTACTACATGCACGCCCAGCTCCTGGCGCGCTACAACGGCGAGCGGCTCAGCAACAGCCTGCCCAAGGTCAAGCACCTCAACCTGCGAGAGCCCATCAAGGAGGCGTACTACCCCAAGCTGGACAACCTCGTGTCCTCCCGCGTCTGGCCCAGCCGCCCGCCCAACGTGCGCCTGCAGGTCCGATAACCGAGCCGCCGCCCACTGCGGCGCGGCCTGATGGGTTGCCTGCTCACCAGGCGACTCGGCCCAGCTTTGCGAAAACAGTTAGGCAGGTGGATCCCACGAATACACCCGTGTGGGGTGGGTTGCACCCACGCCTGTCCAGTAGACGACATATACACACGCGTGACGCGTGCCGAGGCGTTGCCTAGTAGGTAGGCGTAGAGGCCAGCCAGCTCCACACAGGTGTTTTCGTGGTTATGTTTGCCTAACCGATATCGCAACACTGACTCAGCCACGCAGACAGTATTGGATGCATTTTACCGCATTTTACCTATACCCGCATTGTCGATAGCGCATCATTGTGTGCCCGCAGGACATCAACAGGGACGGCTTCAAGATAGACGTGGAGGACCTGGAGCGGTGGACGGCGCGTATTTACGACGCCATCGCCGTGGGATACGTGGTAAACGTGAGTGTCGCACCGGAAAAAAAAATGTCCCGCATATTTTCCCAAAGTTGTGTTTGGCAGTGACGGCCGCCGTTCTTTTTGCAGACGACGGGGGGCAGACTGCCGCTGACGGAGGAGGGCGGCGCCAACCTTCTGGGCAACATCATCGAGTCGAGCGCCGTCACGCCCAACCGCCAGCTTTACGGCGAGCTCATGAACCAGGGCCACATCCTCATCTCGCTGGCGCACGACCCGGAGAACCGCTTCCTCGAGTCGTACGGCGTGATGGGCGACGGCGCCGTCGCGCTCCGCGACCCCGTCTTCTACCGCTGGCACGCGCACGTCTGGGACGTGATGCGCGCCTACAAGGACACCCTGCCGGGCTACACGGCCGCGCAGCTCTCCTTCCCCGGGGTGCGCGTGCTCGGCGCGGAGGTGCGCTCCGAGGACCACGCCAAGCCCAACGAGCTGCTCACGCACTGGCAGGCCAGCGACCTGGAGCTGTCCCGCGGCCTCGACTTCTCCCCGCGCCGGCCCATCTTCGCCCGCCTCACGCACCTCCAGCACCGGCCCTTCGCCTACCACATCCGCGTCGAGAGCGCGGCCGACGTCCCCCGCGACGCGTACGTGCGCATCTTCATGGCGCCCAAGCTGGACGAGCGCGGCCGGGCCATGCACTTCCGAGACCAGCGGCACCTCATGATCGAGATGGACAAGTTCCACACGATACGTGAGTAGCAGGGGCGGGGAGTGTTCTTGCGGGTAAAGTTAGCACCAACGAATGAGTAACCGCGGATTTTTTCCTCCCAGTCAAGCCCGGGCTCAACACGCTGAAGCGACTGTCCTCCGAGTCGTCGGTGACCATCCCCTTCGAGCGCACCTTCCGCAACCTGGACGCGAACCGGCCGGGGGGCGGGCGGGCGCTCACGGAGTTCACCTTCTGCGGCTGCGGACTCCCGCAGCACATGCTGGTGCCGCGGGGAACGGAGGACGGCCTGCCGCACCAACTGTTCGTCATGGTGACGGACTTCGCCCGCGACCGCGTGGACCAGGTCCTGGAGGGCTCGTGCCTAGACGCACCCAGCCTGTGCGGCGTGTTTGCCGGCCGCTACCCGGACCGCCGGCCCATGGGCTTCCCCTTCGACCGGCGCCCGGCCGGGGACCGCGTCGACACGCTCCGCTCCTTCCTCACGCCCAACATGTTCGTGCAGCGGGTGATGGTGCGCTTCCGGGACGCCGTCGAGGCCACGGTGCGCAACACGACGCGCTTCGGCACCACCAAGGGTACCGTCAAGGTGACGCACGGCGACCCGGTGCCGGCCTTCGGCACGGTGCACCGCGACCACCTGGGCGTGCCTACGGTCGGATACGCGTGAACAAGGCGCGCGCTTTTCCAATAAAGAGACTAAGTTATTTCAAAGGCGAGCTCTTAGTCGATCTGCAACACCCCGCAGGGGTTGGTTGGGCGCGACGCGCCCCGCTCTGGCCTTTCCACTCCGCGGGCGCTGCAGCCCGAATCTTCCCTGACCCACTCAACGCGTGACTCCAAGGGCCACGCGAGGCCGCGCCAAGGGCAGATTGCGCTGCATTGCGACGCCCCCTGGCGGCGTGCCTGCCAACCGAGCGCCCCTCCTCCCTCCTCCCCCTGGCGCCGCGGCGCCGCGGCGGGGCCCGGGCCTGGCGTCCAGCCCCCGCCAGTCTCTGCCCCGACGCCGCGCTCGCCGCCACGACGCCCCGCCCCGCCACGACCCAGACCGCCGCGCGCAGCGTGCGTCCACACGTCCCGCCGGCGTGCGCAGTCCCCCGCCGTCACCGCCGTCACCAGCGCGCCAGCGTCACGCGTCGGGACAGTGGCGTGTGACGACGCCGGTGCCGGAGCAAGTGCGGTTGCGTTGTTGTTTCTGTCGTCGTCGTCCGGAGAAGAGGCACAGTCGACGAACAGGTCCTGCGGGTGCTTCGGGCGGGCCGTCCTGGCCGTCGGGGTCCTGCCCAGCAGGCTGCCGAGCAGCAGGCCCGACCGCCGGTGACAGCGGCTCAGCGAGCACCGCCACCGCCAGCAGACATGGGGCGCGTCAAGGAGTACTGGAAGCCCGTCGCCGTGGTGCTCTCCGCCGTTCTTCTATCAGGTGAGGAGGCCTAGCAGGACGCCGAAGACGCCCTCGACCCCACCGAGCCTGCCTCCTGCTGCTGCCTCCTGTCGCTGATCCTCGCCATCACCGTCACCCTGTTTATTTACGCGTTGACGCCGTTGACTCCCCTAACGAGGCCGCACCAGATAATTCGATTTGCTCCTGCTCCGACACGATACACAGCGGCCCGGCCTCTCTCTGTCTCTCTCTCCCTTCCCCTTCAGATGATTGATTTTCCCGCCGGGCTTGTCATTTTTTCCCGCAGCGGGGCCACATCGTCGCCGCACGCACGTCGCCGTGGGGATTGGCCGACGGTCCCGCGGTCCCGGGCCGTCCGGGACCGTCCACGACGGGCCTGGGAGCCACAAGGAACAGGGAAGCGTTAGAGGCAGGGACGTGGTGGGGAGCGGACTGCAGCCGATCGAACCCCCGCCGGCCTGCTGCCGCTGCTCAGCCTGTTAAGTTGAGCCACGCAAGTTTGTTTGATTAATACCAGTGCGCCCGTCCACCCCGCCCCACTCCGCCCCAACCCGCCCCGCCCCACCTCGACCGGGACATGTCTGCTAAGTTGCGCTCCCTGGCCGCCCACCCTCCCCACCCTCCCCATTTTCCACCCCCCAGTGTCACACCCCCTCTTTCTCCCCCTGTTTCTAGATTGTGGCGGAGAGGAGGGGGCCGGGGAGGCGGGGTGCACCGCTCAGCTGGCTAGTCGCGACCGCGCGCCCCCCGCCGCACCGCCACAAACTTTGCAAAAAGTAGCGGCCCCAACTACTTCCTCCCCCCTGGGCTGTCCGCCCGGCGCGCCCGCGCCACGCCAGGGCTACGTAAATATCGAGCTAGGCGGGCGCACAGCACGGCGCGGCGGGGCGCGGCGGTCAAAAGCAAAGTTAAACTACCTCGGACCGACAGACGGACCCGCGCGCAAAGCGGACGGGCGGGCGGGCCGACGGGACTGACAGCGGCCAAACGAACCGGAACGCACAATGGACACAGAGAAACGCTTCATCCGTCCGCTGCAGACCCGCCAGAAACGTATGTACGCGTGCCAATCCGGAGAGGTTAATATCGGGGGAGCGAACGCCACGCCCCGGCCCGCCCCTGCTACGGTGTATCGATGATACAGTAACTCACTTAGGCCACCCGCCCGCCGCCCGCGCTGTGTGTTGCATGTCCAATTACACGTTGTATTTACGGTGGTCGTTGCGTCAATGGCTTGTGACATGCGGCTCGCGTTGGAGCGCAGCGGGGTGGTTCGGGGCGGGGCGGGGCGGGGGTCGACCTCGCGTCACGTGCAGCGCGGGGAATGAAGGAGCCTCCGCCAGTGCATGTTCCGCGTAGGTCGGGCCGGGCGGTCTCACACTGCACGCTGTGGGTAGTGTTTGCAATACCAGCAAAAGCCCCTCGCATAGTATTCCCAGAAACACTATTCTAATACGATTGGGCTAGCGACAACCCCTCCCCACCACATTACCTTACACCCTTGCGCACTGGCGCCACTGGCGGGCGACGCATATCCACCATAAGCCACTACACGCATCCCCTATCTACGGATCACATCTTTTCAGTGGAAGAGGCGATCTGAAAGCGGAAGACAACGCGGCTCCATCCCCTCCCCACCCGATACGTGAGTAGCAGGGGCGGGGAGTGTTCTTGCGGGTAAAGTTAGCACCAACGAATGAGTAACCGCGGATTTTTTCCTCCCAGTCAAGCCCGGGCTCAACACGCTGAAGCGACTGTCCTCCGAGTCGTCGGTGACCATCCCCTTCGAGCGCACCTTCCGCAACCTGGACGCGAACCGGCCGGGGGGCGGGCGGGCGCTCACGGAGTTCACCTTCTGCGGCTGCGGACTCCCGCAGCACATGCTGGTGCCGCGGGGAACGGAGGACGGCCTGCCGCACCA